CAATTTTTTTTTCTCAGTGTAGATCAGCTTTCTGTAGACAATAAGGCTGAATCTCTCAGAATACATCCTGTAAATTGTTAAAGAATAAATCTAGGATGTGAATCTCTTTTCTAGCTATTTCTCTATCCCCCTCAAAATGGAGTTCTACAAAAAGAATTTAGTATTTGGGGAGTCTGGCTTGGATGTTATTCTTATAGAGTAGTCTGCCTGAGGGAATCTTGAAAGTTCATAGTTTTCCATGTCAATAGTTGAAAAACTCAATGCAGCTTCAAAAGTTAGAATTGTAAGATTTATAACTATAATATTTCACATATGCATGGTTCTGACATTTTTGTTTTGGTTTTGCAGAAAATGGCTCTGAAGATATAGATATACTCCCTACAGGGCTGGCTTTTATCTCAACTGTGAGTATCTTCCAGCCACTCTGCTGTTTGCACTAGTAGCTATACAGACAGCGCATTAGTGTTGTTGGTTAGGGCTGCCAGATGGACTGCCACACACTCACACCTCCTCTGGCTAGGCCAGTCAACTAAAACAGCCCCTGCAGGAATGTGGAAGGCTAATTAAAACCCCACAGGAATGCCCAGCTTTGAGTGCCCCCATGGTGGGCAGCTCTGCGTCAGCAGCACATGCTTGAGGGTCTCAGTAAGTACCTTTTGATTTCCACTTGCTCTCCTGGCTGGTCTCTAGACCTGTGCTATTGCTGTCTGTCTCCATCATTGCCCTATTAGACTGGGTCTCCATACCTGGTAGTCATCTTCTCACTGACTTACCATGAGTGCCACACATGGTAAGTACCCTTCTTAGCATGCCTGACTGTGTTGGGAGCTCTAGAAACATTAGTGGTCAAATGCCAACTGTACTACTCCATTGAAACCCCTGAGGGCTTTTACCCTGGGCTCCCTGCTACTCTTCCCATGCTTTTCAAGAAGCAGAAAGGAGCCTGCATTTTGTTCCAATGGCCGTTTTCACAAGTTTGGGATGACAAGGAAGCTATGCCAGGGACTAAAACTCAACAACAACATTTATTTTCTGTTTTGTGGAGATGCTGAAAATTATCATGACTTTGTTAAAGCAGGTACACACTGGTTAAGATTTTTGAAAAGTGGATTTACTATATTTTCAATGTGAATGAATTCTCATTGCTAAAACTGCATACATAATATCCTCTTTCAGACCTTATGAGTAACACAAAAGGACATGAATTTTAAGTGTCTTTGGCCAAAAGCAGGACACATATAATAACCATGGCCTGACTTTCTCAGATCTTAAGTGTATGAACATGTGGACTTTATTTCTTTAGTTTTCCTCCAGAATGAAAGATTCTGCTTGGAAAAGTCTTTTCTTTGTTAACCTAAATTTTCTCTTGTCAGGGTAAATTTTCAGTCCTATGTCAAATGGATCTTCTAAAATAATTGATAGACCTTCAAAACTATGAGATACCATCTGCTGTTAGGAAATAATATTTGCCATTACTACACCATGATTATTTTCCTGTTTTGCTATGAGCAAAACTTCATGCTTATTGCTGTACAGAAAAAAGATATTTTCTTCACAAATATTTTCTGATAACTCTCAATGTGAAGCTTTACTTAATGAGTCTTGTTTTGTAAACTAACAACTCAGAGGTTAAGGATTATGTTTCTTGCTTATTTCTAATCTTTTTGTACTGTAGTACATTTAAGACCTTGCTCCCCTTAGTCTTCTCTACCTCCCTCTCTTGCCGCCCTAGAAGGTGTTTGCAAAGTGCAGATTTAGAGAGTAATTTCAGGCAGTAGGTATTTTTAGTCTATTAAGAGGTGCCAAGTGGGATATTAATTTCCCTGCTGTGGACATTGGCTTGCTCCTCTTTGTCTGAAAGTTCACTCTCTTCTTTCCACTTTGCCAGCTAGCTCCTGTTTCTGTGTGAGGCCTCATGTGTGGCACTCTACTTTCTCAGGGAAATCTTCCCTGGCATTCTCTCTGTCTGGGTGGGGTCCTTTTTCATGAAGCCACAGCCCAGTACTCTGACTTTATACCTCCTCTCTGATGCTCATTTCTGCACCAGTAGACTTCACATTTCTTAAAGCCAGGACTTTGTGAAGGATTCTTTCACATGCCTAGCACCAAACACATACCAGCTGGCACATGTAGGTGCTTGAGTATATCATATGTGCTGATGAACGAGAGAAGTGGAGGACATCAGTGGTTGTCCTCAGGGCTGAGTACCTGCAGTCTACTGGGAAAAGTAAGAAGCCTGAATCTCCAGATGACTCTCACCATTTCCACTGGTAAACGGCATTGAAAAATAGCCTGCCATCACCAGTGCACAGTGCTATTTCTGCAGCAGTTCTTACCTAACAGCTTTGAGCTGAAAACTAGATGAGCATGAGGTCACTTGTCAGAAGTGTTTCATTTATTCTCAGAGTTCATGTAGGACATACTTGTTGCAGTACCTCTCCCTTCTCTCTTAAATCATTTCTACCTCCGGAGCATCTAGTCTTCCCCAAGCTGGCCATGTCTTTATCCACTCCCAAGCTGCCAAGGTACTGGCAGAGATGTTCTGCTTTGGTTTCTCTTCCTGAGCAGCATTCTTCACTTTCAGATGTTTCTTTATGGTATGGCAGATGGAGGCTGTAGGGCGAATGCTCAAGATATTCCGGCAAATCCCTCCTCTGTGCTTCTGTTACTGTGTGAAAAGGGGAAGGGAGACTAGATGCCAAGGGCATTGTTTTTTCATTGTTAGCATCCTCTGATTCACTGGGCATGACACAGCTTTGCTATGGGAAGAGAGAGGTCTTGAAGCCTGAGTTGTATGGCCTGGTTTTCAGGATAATTGTAATGCCCTTAAGTAAGAAGGACAGACCATGAGGGGAAAGGTTTGAGAGGAGGATATTAATTTTGGTTTTTTTCAAGTTGCTTTTGAGCTGCCTTTAGGAGGAAGTCAAAATCATACATTAGAATGCCTGAGACCAGTTATGGGTAAATATGCATATTTGAAAGTAATTGGTGCAGAGGAAATTCCTGAAGGCTTCTGGATGAGACCTGTAAGGAAAGAAGGTAGAGTCAGAGTGGAGGAGGGATGGATGGACAGGGTCAGAAGGAAGAGGAAGTGCCAGACCCAGGAAAGGAAGCAGGACTTCTACCTGAGAACACTATTTCTGACTTTCTGATAAGAAAGAAGGACATATAATGTAGTGTCAAGCACCATAGGGTTGCAGATAAGGAAAATAGAAGAGTTGTCAAGTAACATAGTTTGGAGATCATCGGTATGACCCTTACAGAGGTGTTCCTACAAGCTGGTGGGAATACAATGCTAATTTCAGAGACCTGAAAGAATAAATCATGTAACAGAGAAACCTGATGGTGACAGGAAGAGGGACAAATATGTACGGAAAGAAAATTAACAGAAGAGTTTTTTCAAGGAAGGAAAATTTTAAGTCATTCTTCAGGCCACAGAATCCATTGGTTAAAAAGAAGTAATAAAACAATAGGGGATGTGATTCTAAAGATAGATCCTAGAGAACAAGGAACAAGGAAAACTTATGAAAGGGTTAATATAAGAACAGAAGAGGAAGGGTCAGGGATACGGCTCAGTGAAATAAGCGCTTCCCTGGCAAGTGCAAGGGCCTGAGTTCAATCCCCGGTTCCGCCAAAAAAAAAAAAAAAAAAAAAAAAAAAGAACAGAAGAGGAACACTTCTTCCTTGAGAATAGAGAAAGAAAGGAATAGAATGGGTAAATTGGAAGAATTACTGAGGGTGAAAGGAGAGAATCAGGAAATTCATATTAAATGATATGGTCCTTTAAAAGAAGTAGGAGGAATAACTATTCAGGATAATAAGGGAAGAGGTATGGGCTTGGAAGATAATAAATTTAAAGGAGGTATTTGATGAAATCAAATAGAATACCTATTAGAATGAATTAAACTTCAATCCTTAGTGTTGACTATCTGGTTGAAGTTGAGATGATCTCTTTGTAGTCAAGCTTTTCCACTTGATTCCTTGTAAGAGCTGCATCAAGGCAAAGAGAGTTAATAGAGAATTTGGATAAGGAAACAAAGGGCACAACTTCCTTAGGGGTTGCCCCAGTGCCAGAACCTTGCCTATAAGCAGAGCTGTTGAGCAAGGGTCTGCGGATCTCTCCATTAGATGTAGTTATGCTGGAGAATGGAGAAAGAATATTACTTCTCTGGGAAGCAAGGCTTGGACACTTAAGAAAAGCTTGAATAATTAGTTGGAACAGTTCAGAGAATATTAACTATCCCTAGATGGGGTGGGCAGTAGAAGGACCAAGAATAACATTATTATGACAGAAGGGAGTGGGGAAGAATATGGATGTGAATATGCATGTAAGAAAGAGCAGGAAGGAAGAGGGACAGACTGAGAAGGTAGAGTAGAATGAAGAGAATTTAAATTAAGGGTAAATGGAGATAAAAGTATGGAATGGGATATAAGGCTGTTAATATTGATAAATATCACATGGAAGGCATGAGTGAGAAGCACGAAGAAGACTTAAGCTGTTTTGAATGAGGTGGAAAAAAGCTGCCCCAAGCTTTGGGGCTGTGAACTGGAGTACGGCAGAGGCCCACACATTTGAGACGCCTGTTGCCAGTTGACAATCCTTTGACCTCATGAGTAGAAAGGCCCATAGCCCAAGCTACTGGAATGAATTTTTGCAACATTTGGCAAAAAGGTTTCATGTCAGAATTTTCTGCCATACCTGAAGGAACAAAAGAGTTCAAAAATATCTGTAGGAGCCAGACAATCTCCTGGGGATTCTTGGCTGAGTCTACTATTCTTGGCTTTGTATACTGTACAAAGTAACGTATGTAGAGATGGGGGCAATACAGTTAGACAAAGTGCCACTTCTTGATGCTTTGAGGAAGGCCAGCTATAGAATATCAGGATTGGAAAGAATCTTAGAAATGATATATCTCAACTTGCTTATGTACAGACAAGAAGCCCACAGCTCAGGTAGGCAAAGGACATACAAAGTCACACTGCCTGGCCTGTTGCATTATCATTGTTGGCTTAGCTCTTTGTAAATTAAAAGGCTCTCCTTGCCTTAAACGTGGTTCTTCCCATATTCACAGCCATTCTCAGATAACATTGCTGACCACTCAGAGAAGACAGTGGCTATAACTTGCGAGCAAGTGAAAAGTCCCAAAGAATTGAAATGAAATGGAGAACTCTGAGCATTATATGTGGCTTTGATATTTAGCATTCTTACTAAAATATTATTTAACATGATTGTACATTACATTTCTGTTGTCTTTTTTTTTTGTTTTTTTTAAAAAAAAGGGATTAAAATATCCAGGCATGCCAAACTTTGCTCCAGATGAGCCTGGAAGAATCTTCTTGATGGATCTGAAAGAGCAAACCCCAAAGGCACAAGCACTGAAGATCAGTGATGGGTTTGACAAAGCACTGTTTAATCCGCATGGGATCAGTACTTTCATCAAAGAAGGTAAAGCCTGAGTGAGTAAGGATGCTGGGAGATGCTGGAAATGAAAACCACTCATCCCCTGTGGCTCAGAATTAATGTGGAAGACAGAGGGGGGGATGCTTCTACCATGAAATATGTACAGTAGTCATAACAGCATAAATGTGTATACAACATGTTTAAACAGTTAAACAAAGGAGACTAAAATTGAAGACCTCACTTGGTTTCTTCCTCTTCCATCTATGTGCTTTTCTTCTTTACTTATGGGTGCACTTTACCTGTACACAGTGATCACTTTCATCATAGAGACTTTGTACCTGTACATGATAGATATTGATTCTTCCCCACCCCAATCCTCTCCTCTCACTTCAACTCCTCTTTCTGTCTTTATCCATAAGAACTATTTCCATTTTTCTTCTATTCTGTTTTCTTTTTCTCTTCTTTCTCTTTCCTCTCTCTCCTCCCATGGTCTGCTTTCCATCTGAGCATTTTCTTCCCATTTCCCAATATCTAGTATACAGTTTGTTTCTTATTTTTACTTTCAGTTTCTCATGTCAGGGAAATAACTTGATATTTAAATATGTGTGTACAATTTATCTCACTAAAGAGTAGGACCTTAAGGTGCATCCATTTAGCTATAAAGGTCTCAAATTTCTTTGATAGCAGAGTACTACTCCATTGTATTAAAAACTACCACATTTTCTTTATCTAGTCACGTGCTGATGTGCATTTGGGCTAATTCTAAGAGTTGGCTATTATAAATTGTGCTATTACAAGCATGGTTGTGTGGGCCAGCGAGATAGCTCAGTGGACTAAAGTGCCTGCATAGGTAAGCTTAGGAAAGCTCAGGGACTGCTGTTTGACATAGTGCTACATGCCCCAGGGCCGGCTGATCTGGCCAGATTCTGGGCGTAGTGGCACACCCCTATAATCCAAGCACTGGGGAGGCTGAAAGTAAGAGGACCACTATGAGTCTGAGCTGTGTAGCGAGACCCTGTAACAACCAAATACATGTTTAAAAAAAAAGCATGGTTGTGCATATATCTCTGTGATATGCTGCTTTAAGTTCTTTCAAGAAGATAGCCAGAGAGGGAATAGATGGGTCGAATGGGACCTCACATTCCAGTGTTTTGAGAAATCTCCACACTCATTTTGACAGAGGTGGCATCAGCCTCCACTCCCAACAGTGGAGAAGGGCTCCTCTTTTTCCCACAATCCTGCGAGCATATGCTATTCATTGATTCTTGATGGTAGCCATTCTTTTTAGAGTAAGATAAAACTGTTTTAATTTGCATCTTTCAAATGGCCAGTGATGTTGAACATTTTTTCATTTTTTCATGTATTTGTTTTCCACCTGTACTTCTTCACTCAAAAAAGTGTCTATTCATTCCAGATGCCCATTTTTGGTTTGGGTTCTTAAATTTGAAGGGGGTACTGATATTTTGAACTATGTATAGTTCTTTATATATTCTAGTTGTTAGCCCTTTGACTAAAGAACAGCTGGCAATTTTTTTTGCCCACTGTACAAGTTATCTCTTCACTATATTGATAGTTTCTTTTTATAAGAAAAAGTTCTTTTAACAAGATGAGATTCCAGTTGTTAATCCTTTCTAGTATCTCCTGCATGATTGGCACTTTAGTCAAAAAATCTTTGCCTAGACCTATATCTTCAAGAGTTCTACTTATTCTATCTTCCAATAGAGTTAGGGTTTCTGTTTTACTTTATTTTATTTTATTTTATTTATCCTGGGGATCAAATTCAGGACCTCGCACTTTCCAGGCAGGTGCTTATGCTACTGGGATACTCCCCAAACCAGGATTTTTGTTTTAATACTTACATCTTTCATCCATTTTGATTTTAGTTTAGTACTTACTAAGAGATAGGGGTCTAGGTTTAATCTCTAGCATGTGGAAAGCCAGTTTTTCTAGCACCATTTGTTAGACTACATTTCTTCCAGGAAAGATATCTGGCCCCTTCATCAAAGATAAAGAGGTTGAGTGTTTGTTACTGTTGTTTCTGTATTCTCTAATCTATTGCACTGATTCTTTGGTCTTGTTGTTTTGCCAGTACCATGGTGTTTCAATCACAAAAGCTTCGGAGTATAATTTCAAGTCAGGGATTTTGATGCCCTTTGCCTTGCCCTTGTTGTCCAGAATTAATTTTGTTATTCTAGGCCTCTAGGTCTCTGCGAATGACCTATTCTATGTCATTCCAAATAAATTTTAGTTATGGGGCCAAAGAGGAAAGTGATTGATGATGTAGAGTGTGCCTAAGGAGAGTCACATGGAGAGAAAACATTCTCTCAGGTTTTCACAGAGAGTACATTGACCAAACAATGGCCGTGACTCATCTGGACTTTTGAAGGATCTGTTCTAATTTTAACATTTTCATCCATAATTTCATGGATTTGGGTCTTTCCTTCTCTTGAGAAGGTTGGCTAAGAATTTTTCAATATTACCTAGTCTTTCAAAGCATTATTCTTCATTTCATTGATTCTTTTTATTGTTTTCTTAGATCAATCATACTAGTTTCTGCTCTCGTCATTATAATTTCCTTCCTTGTGTGGGACTTGGACTTGAGTTGCTCTTTTTTCCTAAACCTTGAGGTTCAACATTAGGCTGTTTATTTGAGCTCCATCTGTTTCCTCTTGTGGCAATTTACCATTATCCATTTTCCTCTTAGGTCAGTCTTCATTGCATCCCATAAGTTCCAGTATATTGTATTGGCATTATCATTTAATGGTAGAAACATCTAATTTCTTCTGTAATTTCATTTGTAATCCATTGGTTGTTCAGTAAAATGTTATTTAATTTCAATGTAGTTATGAAATGTTTCATGGTTTATTTTGTCATTGATTTCCAATTTCATTGCACTATGGTCTGATCATATGCATGGGATAATTTCAGTTCCTTTGCATTTACTTAAGCATGTTCTATGAGCTAATAAGTGATCAATTTTGGAGAATGTCCTGTGTGCAGCTTAGGAGAATGTCTATTCTGATATTATAAAGTGGAACGCTCACAACTCATCTACTATGTTTATTTCCTTGCGGTTTTGATATTTCTTTTTTATTTTTTGTTGAGTTGATCTATTTGTGCTAGCAGTGTATTAAGTTATGTCATTATAATTTTTTAGTGCTTATTTGATCTTTCATGTCTATTAATATTTGTTTTGTATATTTGGTTATAATGAGTATGTAGTGACCTTGTTTGTCCCTCTTAATCAATTTGGGATTGAAATCTACTTTGTCTAGAAATAGAATAGTCACCCCTACTTTTTTCCAGGTTCTTGTGACATGGAGAACTGGTTTTCATCCTTTGACTTTCAGCCTATGAATTTCTTTTTGAGTTAAGTGTGTCTCTGGTATGTAGCATACTGTTAGAGCTTCTGATCCTTTCTGCCAGTCTGTTTGATTGTGAATTGAGACCATTTACACTGATGATTATAACTAATGTGTACTATTTATCCTTATAATATTTATTTCCTATTATTAGTTCTCTGTCTTTCCCCCTTTGTTTAATTGCTTGACTTGCCTGGTAGACTCTTTTTATTTGTGTTCTTGGAATTATAGTCTTCCTCATCTCTTTCTAGAACATCTTTTAGAACACTAGAGTTGGTTTGGTGGTCATAAATTTCTTCAGTTGTCCTTTGTCATGGAAGTATGTGGTTTCTCCAAGGATTTTAACAGATAATTCTGTATGATACATCCATCAGTGGTTGAAATGCTTCACTCCAAGCTCTTCTTGGCTTAAAGATTTGTGTTAAGAAGTCTGCTGTGATTCTGATGGGCTTTCCTTTATAGGTGATTTGTTTCTTTTGTTGAACAGCTTATTGTTTAAAATTTTTAATAGTTAATACATTGTCTATTGTTATCATCAAATCAGCCATTCAGAGTGCAATTTAAGGGCATAAAAGTTCTCCAAATGAGATTAGCATCAACCTTTCTTTTCAGTTAACTAAATACTGTAACTATCTTGACTATCTTATATTTTTTCCATTCTCTTCTACCTTGCCCCTTTTCCCCACCCTAATTTCTTGTTCCTTTTGAACATTTCTTCCAATTTCACAATATATATATATTATATTTTGGACCTTATTTAGGCTTTCAGTTTCTCACACAAGGAGACAATAAAATCTTTATACGTGTCTGATTTATTTTACTTATGAGTATGGTCTCAAGTTGCATTCATTTAACTATAAAAGTTTCCAGTTTATCTTTTTGATGGCTGACTAGTACTCCATTGTATACAAATATATCTTTTTTAATCCATTCCTTGAATAATGCCTATTTGAATTGTTTCCAAATTTAGTTGTATACATGGGTGTACATATATTGCTGTGGTATGATGATTTTAATTCTTCTTTACCTAGAAGAGTTCTCTAATTCTTTAATATACTTAGAAGGAGAATAGCTGCTCAAATAGACCCCTAATCCTAGTTTTTGAGAAATTTCTGTGCTGATTTCCACAGTGGCTGCACTTCCAGCAACAGGGGAGAATGGTTTCTTTTTTGCCAAAACACCTCCAACATTCGTTGTTGGTTGATTTCTTGATGATTTCATTTTTCTGGGTTCCTGAGACACTGAGCATTATTTTCCAACCTTTGACTTTTAGTCTGTGATTTTCTTTTTAGTTAAATATGTCTCTTGAATGCAGCACATTGTTGAATCTTGCTTCTTAATCCATTCTGCCAGGTTTTTTTGTTTTGTCTTATGAGATGAGATCATTTACATTCATGGTTATAACTGATACATATCCACTTATCTTTTTGATGTTCTTTTCCTGTTATTAATTCCATGTCTTTCTCTTGTGTTTAACTGCTTGCTCTACATGGTGGCTTCTTTCTATTGGTGTCTTGTGGTTTTTGGTCTGTTTCCTCTTTCTAATATAGTTTTCAGAGAATTACAAAGATCTGGTTTGGTGGCCATGAATTTCTTCAGTATTCTTTGTTATGAAACTTTCCTATTTCTCCATTGATTTTGAAATATAATTTCCTGGGTTACATCAATCTGGATTGAGGGATA